GGGGGGACTATGAAAAAAAAGTGCATGTGAAGGGTTGGGTAGAAAAAATGGGTTACTTTCACTCTAACATACTCCTGGTGGATTCTCAAAAGGCGCTGTCTCTTGAACACCTGCTTGATCAAAACTTGATTAATTATAGAGGTTCAAAGAAGAGATGTGTATCGTGTATTTTGTTTGCTATTTTTACTGCCTTCATCTTACATTGGACAATGTTGCTCTTTTCCCATAGAATTCGGGGCGTCAGTATACAATACCTCAAGCTTTCCTTAAGGACTGGTACCTTTGTTTCATTTAACGAAAGTTATAATGAAGCCCTCTGTTAAACTCGAGCCAAGGGAGTAGGCCTGTTATAGTTACAAAGAGAGATGAAAAAGAAAAAACGCTGTTGATCATCTCAATTTTCCACAATTACGACGTTCAGTCCCCTTACAACCAAAGGTTAAAGTAGAGGGGATCTCGAAAACTCTCCAGGCAAGCGAGGCTCCGAAACATTATTTATTTCTTGGATCAAATCTGCATCTTGTGTCGTTTCAATCAATATTACAGCTCTCACATAGAAGTTAGTGTATACCTGGACTACAGGGTTGCCAGTCTTACTTTGGTTGGGTTGTATCAGAGTCAGTTTGACTACCTACTACACCCAGGCGTGTAAATTCAAGGACAATGCCATTGACCAAGTAGAAAAATAAAAGAAGCAGAAAAAACGGAAGAAAGAGGGCAAATTATGCTCAGCAAAAATATCATACAAGTTTAACTGGTCGTAGAGGTGAGGTGCCAGAGGCTGCTCAGGGGTGTTGACCTTCTTGTTGGTGAGCAGTGCCTCTTTGTATACCCCAAACCAACTTATTAGAAGTAAGAACGTTTTAAATTAATCCTTGAGCATTTTCTGAGAGTGCCCTTATTGTATCACAGGCATACATAAACTCAATTTTATGCCAAGGCATGAACATCCTTACATAGTAGTAATAGTAGTCCTTGGTGGAGCTGAGAAGTTATACTCACGACTGCAAGTGCCACCGTCTCCTCTGAAGCCAGGACTGCAGACACAGACATAGGCCTCTTCTGTTCCTTGGACGCATTCGGCGTTCTCTCCGCACATGCTTGGGGTTCGACGACAGTCGTTCACTTCTGCAAAGTTCAGAATCTTCACAGTGATCCTATTCTTAAAATCAGCCCCGTGGTGGGGGAGGACCACGCTAAGCCGATGCGGAAACTAGGTCTTTCCTCTTTGAGTCGAACGTAGAATTGAATCGAAGGAGTCATTTATGAAGAGAGCGGGGG